GCAGGTGGTGACAGAGCCCCGCAGGCCTGGAGGACGCAAGGTCTGTGTCCTGTCGTATCGAGCAGGAAATTAATCAATTTCCTTATTTTCTGTCCTTTCTTTCTGTCTGCTATTGATTTCTAGCTGTGTCCTCTCTTCTTTCTTTTCTGTTTTTTTTTTTTCAATTCTTCATTTGCTCCCTTCTTTCACTTTGCAAGTTCCTGTAATATGCTTTTCTCTATTTATATCTCTCCTTTCTCCTCTCTCTCTCTCTCTCTCTCTCTCTCTCTCTCTCTCTCTCTCTCTCTCTCTCTCTCTCTCTCTCTTTCTCTCTCTCTTATTTTCTTTCTCCCTTTCTTCCTCTCTCTGAAATTTTCATTCTTACACATACTTTCTCGCTCTCTCTTTCTTACACATACAATTTCGTCGTCTTCTCCTTTCTCTCGCTAGTTAGGGATTTTGTTAATCCAATTTCTTTGGTCTTAATAACTTTTCCTTTATTTTGCAGATTGCCTTCTTAACACTATAGCTAACCTATGATTTACGGTTAGTTAAGTAGTACTAATTCATTGGCTTTCTTTTTTTTAGGACTGCTGTTGTTTTAGGTCTAATTTCCAGGTTAGGTGATACATAACGAAGCTTCTAAATTTCTTATAGATAGGAAAGTGTATATGCATGTGAGTGAAAGTAGTTATAACAAAAATCAGTTTTTTTCCAGGCTTTCAAGCATCTGTACAATATCTTGATTCCATCTACAAAAAAGGAAATTAAGAAACATCTTGTATACTTTTATTCATATGTCTGTCTATTTTTTTTATTTTGTTTTTATTAACGTAAACTGTAAAGTGACTTTGCGAGCGTAGCAAGAACGAATAGTTGTTTGACTTTGTAGATCCCAGGACACTGGAGCTACTGTTTAGAATCAGTGCCAGTAGTGCTTACACCTGACGCTGAAGGACAGAGGTGACGTGTGTTATATTCATATCATTATATCTTATTTCTTATGTTCTCTCTCTCAAGGTCTTATGTTCCCTCTACTTACGTTTTTTGTTCCTGTTATAAGCCATTCTGCGGCTTATAAAGTACGTTTCTGTACTCTCCTTTATTGATTTCACTTTTCCTTTAATGATCTGCCTTTACTTGCTCTGCCTCGACCTGACTCGCCTCCTCTCGGCTCTCGGCAGACCAACGCCATCGGCGGCAGAAAGCGCATCGCCCAAACGGCCTCCTTCAACAAGCTGATGATGGAAGTCCTCGGGGAGTGAGGAGGCGGCCTCCTTGGGGCTTCGGCGCCGCCCGCGCCCTGAACACGCCCGCACGCCGTTGCTCGGAGTCAGCGCTCGAAGCCCACGACACTCGTGTCACTTTTCGTGTGGAAGGAATGTGGCACTTTAGAGAAGATGATTTCTGAATCATTTTTTATTTCATTTTATTAATTTCTTTGGCTCATATTTTTTGGCCTCTTGACCAGCATTATCAAGTCTCTTTCTGTGTCTCTCTCCCAGTGTATTATATCCTGTTTATTCTTTACTTTCTCTCTTTCTCGTTCTCTCTCTTTCGTTCTTCCTTCCTCGACTCTAGGAAGCCAGTATGAAGTAAGGGACTGAGAGAGAGAGAGAGTTAAAGAGGGCCAGAGGGAGAGATGGGAGAGGGAGAGAGAAGAGAAAAAGTGAGAGAAGAAAACCAAATTAAAAAACTATATATCATATGAACCATACCTCTTCTTTCTAAAGAAAACGTCAGATGGACTTTTTTTCTCTCTCTCTCACTCCCCTATTCTATCTATTTGCCGTGAATGAAAAGATCATGTCTGAAATTGCCATTATGATCTTTTTTTCATTATCATTAATGTTTTATTGATGATATTTATCATTCTAATCTATGGATGTTGGTTTTGGAAAATCAGCATTGTATGCTTTCAATTCATTTTGCTGCTGTTATTATCTTTTGATAGATTAATCTATTGAGGAGTGAGGAAGACTTTGTAGGGGAAAGCTATAATTTATTATATCATTGCCATCATTGGTATTGCCCTGCGAGGCAATAATAACAATAATAGTGACAGATAAAACAATATAGCAGTGAAAGGGTTCACTTACAAAAACTGAGAAAAAGTTTGAAGGAAAAGAAATAAAAATATTTATACTCAGGCAGATTCTCTCCTTTAAACACGTTGTTGAGATCTGCGTTTTTTTTGTATTTTTCAAAAGGTGGATGTCCATTCGCTGCTGATGGACTATATATATATTTTTTGGACATTTTGGTGCTAGTCATGATTATTGCCCTTCTGATTTCCTTTGTCTTAGTTTCCCCTCTCTTTAGCTCCTTATTCCCGTTTTCTTTCTTCCAGTTTTCCTTCTCCCATCTTCGCCAGAACTTGAAACCCTTTTTTTGTGAATAAAGATAAGAACTGCCATTAGTGTTGATAGCGATAATGATTCACCAAGATTATGTCCTTACTATTATCCCTTTTCTCCCTCCACCCTAGAAACGGTAGTAAAGATAGGAACAAAAAAAAAAA